ATCCTTCAAACAAAAAAAAATGAGAGCCAGAGCATCACCATAACATACACTGAATTCCTACAGAGAAGAGACATTCCACCTCCCCTTCTGCTACCTTGTCCCACTTGCACTGTGCCAGTACCTGAAGGACCACATGTTAATCTGGCCCAGGAAAATGGAAATTAGCCTGGGAAAGAGAAAAAAAAAAAGGCAAAAAAAAAATCTCTTTCAGCTAGATCAGTTTTCTTATTCTTCTAATGACGCAGTGGCACAGATGACAACACCACCAAAAGGAAGAGAGCTGAACAGAAAATGTTTTCCTTGATGCCACCTCACCTCCAAACCTCTGATCACCTCACTTAACCCTTTGGATATTGCCACAAAACAAGAAATTCCACATTCCTCTCTCAGCTGCACTAACTCCCAGGTTCTTCAAGGTGGCAAAAACCACAAGAAACAAAGGAGGCAGGTGTAGATCTGAGAGCTTAATAGGGGTCTGGATGATCTTTAGGGAAAGTGGTAGATATTCTTGGACAGAAAAAGGACACTTGGCCACAGCAAGCTATACAGTCAGAGCAGTTCGCTTGCAAGAAACTTGAGATCAGAAATTAAAGCTCCAGTGCTCCACAGCCATACTTCTTTTCAAAAACTACTCCTAAATGCAAATGACCTGCTTAACCAAGAAGGAAGGCATTAATAACACAGCACATGTAAGAGAAAATCATTATACATGTGCAAATGCAGGACAGTGTTTCAGAGGTGTTTCAAACGGTGTTTACCAATCTTACATCGCTGAAGCTTACACTTGTGTTGCTGTAGCTCTGTCGCATCTTGCAAGCACCAGCTTTAATGATTTCATTCTAAATATACCACACTTTTCTGAAGATTGTTTCAAATCATAACTAAGAAAGTATCTATTTTCAAATATTTGGCTGGATTCAGTAATAGAGAAAAACATGAGGAATTAACATGACACAAATGAGTTTGCTCACAAACACAAAAAGAATTTGAAACTGAAGACTAACAAGTATCTTTGTTTATAAGTAATAATCATCAAAGGAAAGGTTTAATTGTTGTCTACCTCACTGCTACAAATGTAAGTCTTACACAGTGTATGTGTGTGTGTGTGTGTGTGTGTGTGGGGGGAAGGGTTTTAGCCTGCTGTAGCTATTAGTTCTGAAAGAAGATATTTGCAGACATCCTCAAACAAGAATCTAGGGGTATTTAAAGGAGCAAGAGCTGAAAAGAAGGAAATAGATACTTCTTATGATGACTGCTTTGTTCAGAAAAGTTGAAAAGATTGTCCTTGCTCAAAGTCTACAAACAAGCAGTAACTTGTATACCTGGACGAAAATAGCTTCTGTTTCAGCAATATTAAAAACACAAAAAAGTGGCATTGCCTGTCAGTCAATAAATGGCCTCATAGCGCTTATCTCAATTAATGACCTGGCTGAATGAAGGTGTGCTTCCTCAGCAAGTCTGGATAATACTAGAAAAAGAGGAAGCAGCAGGTAAACCAGAAGGTCGGGCTGCTGTTCAGAAAGAGGCCAGAGAGATGAAGTTCAACAGACACAAAAAGGAGCCTTCACCTGGGATTGAGGAGCATCGCAGGCTGTGAGCTAGCACAGAAGAAGACCTGGAGGTCCTCATGGGCAGTTGGTGGAACATGAGCCAGTGGCCCCCTTTGCAGTGAGGAGGGCTAGTTGCATTTTGGGCTGCTTCATTATTAAAAGCAGAGGCTGAGGCACTGCTGAGAGAAGTGACTATTTCCCTCTATTTTGCACTTCTGAGACAACATCTGAAGCATTACAGACAGCTTTTTGCTCCCCAAAACAACAACAACAAAAAATGAAGGAGCTCAAACTGGCCAAGACAGGCTGTGCAACCTGCATGCAAGCAGGTACTCAGGCTTGCCTGACAGGGCCCTCAGCAGCCTGATGCAACTTCAGAGCTGTTCCTGCATAGCCTGGGTACTGAAACCAGCCACTTTCAGAGGCCCTTCCCAACCCCATGCTTGGCACTTTTCTTCATTTACACAAGGTGCAAACAAGTCCTAAACTTTACCACTGCACAAGTTCTTGCTGGTCGAAGTCTGATATTCAGTATTTTTTTTTTGGTTTTACTATTATGTTATGGAAAAAGAAATAACAAGGGAAGGACTGAATCATTGCTCATTACTTTAGATAATAGTCTTAGGCAACAGGAGCCTAAGTGAGGTTACAAATCTTTTCTCAAACAAAGTATAGGCATTGATGATACAACTTCAAAACTGAAAAAATTCTAGCCATTAAACAAGACAAAACAAGTGTGAAGGACAAGGAAAGGAAGCTGACAGGCAGACACATATGTATGACTAAGAAGATGAGACCGAACACCCACTAAAAGCTAAAAGTTGCCCTGAATCCTTCAAATATATGAAATCATCAATATGTAAATAACCCTGTAATGACATTGTGAGGAGAGCTCATGCATGTCACAAAATGCAACTGAATTGAAATTACAATCAGTATTGCTTTCACAAAGCCCTACAAGTGTTCTTGGTAACATTTTTTTCAGGTATTTTGCAAAGCAGAAATTAAGCTGCAGATAAGAAATATGCAAAATAACAAAGTGAGTCAGTATTAAAACAAAAAAAAAAGAAAAGAAGAAATTCCCTTGCATTATGCGTTTGTGCTTAGCTGAAAAATGAGTTTATTAGGAAATCAGACCTTTGTTTCAGATGGCTCCATAATATGTGTTTTTGATGCATCAGCAGAGGGGGATTGTTTCTGAGGAAGAAAGAGAAAAAGTTGAGTTATGTTTCACCTTTGTTGTATATAATTTACATTAATTAAGCACAGACATCCAACTAAAAATAAAGAATGATTTATTACTGAAAAAAAATGAGTTACCATTTTAGATCTTTTGTATTGCCTGTATTTCTACAATACATTTATGCAGGTTTTCTACAGTATCATCCCCATGTATCTCATTACAGTATTTTCTTCTCTGACATGAACTGAAAGCAAATTTCATATCGAGTACTGAAACATTTGCATCCTGCTCTTCTGCTGAAACACTACACTTCCTGAGCAGGATCCTTGCACATCTCAGCTTCCTTCTTAAGGAAACTGGATTCTTGGATTTTCTTGCGTGAAATACAAAATATTTAAGACTAAATTTACAGACTCAATCATGCAGAGATAGGAAGGAATAATTACTATCACTATGTAACACAAGTCATAAAGTGTTTCAGCATATTATGCAACTCCTACACCGAAGCAGCAAATGCCAGTCTCTTCCTATCTTTAGTGATGTTACTCTCAGAGAAAAGAAGACACTTTACTTCCATTTTGAATGCAGAATATCCTTCTTATGCCAGAAAAGAAAGTTCCAATCGTCTTATCAATATGTTATACAGACACAATACCACCTCCCTCTTCCCACTTAATGTTTGTCTGCCTAGGCATCCCAGCAGCCGTGTTTGCCATCTCAATGTGCTCACAGTTTACGTTCAAAGAAATAACACAAATTCTTTCTAGACTTTTTTCCCTGCATATTTACTCATGTCACTTGCTCTATTAAAATAAATACTGAATGAACTCAGGAGCAGTATTCCATACAAAGGGTGGCTTCTTTCTTCCATAAAGAAAATTCTCTCATTTTAAACACCAAATCAAACTTTTAAGATACTTGGCTATTTTTAAATAGATTCGCCCAGCCTCTTCAAACCTTTTCATAGTACAAACATTCCTCAAGAATAATACAAGACGTAGAATGGATTTTAAAGGTACACTTATGCCAACCCACCTCAAGCCCCAAAACACAAGGGCAGAAATACCAGCAGTTTTAGTTAGCACAGTTGTCTTTAGGTCTAGAGACAATTTCTCATTACTTGATACTTACACTTTCTTTATGCTCTTACACAATTTCACTGACTTGTGTGCATGTGTACTGGGTGCATGTATGGAAGAAAGTTAAATGGACTTCCAGCCAAACTGCAAACACCAGTCCTTTATTAACATAACTAATGATAATACAGGAAGTACGCTAAGTGGTTAATTATCACATACAAGAATGGCATGCAAAGTTTTTTCTGATTTTTTGCATGTCTCTGCAAGAAGTTTAATGACTAAACATATACCTGAGAGAATCCACGATTGCCATAATTTTAACAGTGGATAATTCCTGCTTCTATATATACACACATAAAGATTGATTATAACACATGAGAATTTCAGGAGGACTGAAGAAAAATCAACATGGGGACAGGGAACAAATATTAAGATCCATTTTTTATATATTTCAACCATCACCATCAGATAATCTGTAGGCAGAAAGGTCATACTTTTCTTATTCTGCCCAGTAACAGACTTTGCTTCCCTTTTCATTATTTCCTATTTAATTAATCTGAATTCCTTCTGGCTGACTAACAAGTATCTGTTCTACACCTCTTTACATTAGTCATCCTAATGACTTTTTACTTGATATATCACCATATCTTGCATGGCATGAATTATTTATCTGAGCCCTTCTCCCTTCCTCCCTCCCCTTGGAAAACTCCCACCAAATCTTTTTCTTCAACAGATTTAAATAGTCTTTGCAGTTTTGCTACAACAGCACCACACAAACCTCCAGAGACCCTCTAGCACGGCTCTACTTGACCGTGACAGTGCTACTTACCATCATGGTTGTTGTAACATCGATGCTCATAAGGCACTCTCATTTAAGGAGGTCTGTCTCAGAGGAAGCTTTACAGCTCTGTATCTTAGCGTAAAATCTTTCTCAAAAACAAAACAAAACAAAACACCACTTCTCCTTCTTCCTGTGCTATCCAGATGAAGCACTTAGGGCGCGAGGAGGAGCTCTAGTTTCTTACTCCTCCATGAGCATTTAAAAGTTTGAGATAATGGCAGTCCAGGAAATGGCTGCTGATCAACTGCTAAGCCGTCCTGCCCTGTAAATGCTTAGGGCTGGCAGAGAGGAGAAACGTACTTATCTTTTGCTGGGGACCCAGGCAGGGAGAGCAGGAGGGAGGGGTTGGCAGAGCACAGGGCACTTCCTGCTGCAGCTGACCTCATCTGTAAAGAAGGTGGCACAACACTGCGTGGATCTTCTTGGTTTGGCTCCCCCGTAGGCGGAGTTTGTCTTAGTTTCACTATGGGACACTTTTCGCCTGACGTTTTCCCCAACGCTGTCCAGCCTCCCCCACGAAAGAACCCTGCAAGGAGGAAGGAGGTTCCTCCTCCTCACAGGGTGGTAACACAAGGTGCAGGCACCTAAATATTCGTTTGCTAACTACCATACAGCCTGTAAAGCCAATCTGACTTTCCAGTAAGGCCGCTTTGGGACGACATCCCTTTGCTGGGGGTTGTTCTAGTTCTCCCTGTCACAAGAGGCAGGCAGCAGCGGCCAAGAACAGCCCCGCGCGCTGCGCTCGCTGTGCTCCGACACGCCGGCGAGATGAGCCCCCGCTCCCGATGCGACGCACGGGCCGGGCGGTAAATATTAAAGTGTTGCCTGGTAACCAGCATAACTGCTGCCTGACGCAGGCCTCGGCGAGGGGCTGCCAGAGAGGGAGGCGCTCCCCGCTCCTGGGGAGGGGGCAAGGCCCCGCCACCATCGGGACTCAACAAGCCCTGTCAGAAAAAGGTTAAATTTCCCAATCAAAAGCAGGAACGGTATGAGTTCAATCCGCCCTCAGGGTTGTAGGGTAAAGAGAGGAAAATCACCTAGGTGCTCCAGCAGAAACAGACGTGTTTTTCTCGTGCTACTGCAGACACCCCAGGGGGAAGAACCCATGACGGATGGAAATGTGAACATGACCCGCACGGAGGCCTGTCCCCGCTGCTGCTCCACATGCAGCTTGGGCGCACGGCCAGCGGCTCCGCTGCGGGCAGCTGCTCTGCAAGCAGCTGCATGAGGCAAGCAGAGCTGCAAACGCAGAATCTGCCCAGAACAGGCACCCAAGAGCAGGCTTTTCCACAGAAAGAGGAAAAGAAGGGCTTGCTGGCCCATCTTGGCAGCACACTGGGCCTACCAGATGCTGGAGGCTCTTGCAGCTCCCTGGCACTCTCTGTGCTTTGCTAATAACGCAGTCAGGCGACGTCACGAGCAGTGCAAAGGCTGCCAAGCAGATGCTACCAGCCCAGGCACTGTCACGCAAATATAAAGGCTGACCGAGGGACTTCAGCACACTGCTGACCCTGAGTGAGAGGGTGACGATTCAGGAAGGTCCCCTGGAAAAAAACAGGGGATCTAGTTTCAGCAAAAGAGAAGCAACACCCTAAGAAACTCATCTGCCAGATTGAGAGTCTTTATGCTGCTGCTGAAAGGGAAAGCCTAACAGGGGATGAAAAGAGAAAGCAACCTGAAAATGAACCTTAAAATAAAATAACTGCGAGTATTCAGGAAACAGGAAGGCAGAGCCTTTTGGAACAAAACAGCAGGTGAAGGAGGCCAGGAGAGCTCTGGGTTACGGGAAGCTGGAAACTCCCTGCAGCTGCACCACACGTAGCACAGCAAGCCACCCGCAGAGCATCAACCACATGGGTGATTTTCAGAAATCCGGGCAGGAGAATTCATCACACTACAAAAGGTCACTGCCATCTTTCGAAAGCAGCAGCCAGATAACAACCTACCAGTCAGCCAACTTCAAAAACTGAAGAGATACTGAAATACTTAACAAGCAACCAATACATAAACACTTAACGTGACACCAAAAAAACAAGCATAAACAGATTTGTCAAGAATAAAGCACCGAATGCTTTTTAAACATGGTAACAAGCCTACTGGTTAAGAAAATATCTTCAGAGGGAACATCATGATGTTACTACAACATTTTTTACAGAACTTTAGGTGACTTTTTTTTTTAATAAATAAGCCAGAGAAATGTCTAGGTGACATTAGATTATAAACTTGCATTCGGCCTGCTTTCAAACTGGACAACATTTGAAGGGAGCCACTGAACAGATTTTTTAAAAGTTGGGCTGCTTTTGATGTTTCCAACAACATGTTTCAGGACAGAATAGCAAGCATCATTTTGAGAAATGTTGCTGGTGTTTTGCAGAAAAAGACTCAACATGAAAATAATAAACTGGGAGGCAAAGTGCTACTACTTAGGCTGTAGAGGAAAAGGAAAGAGGGTAAAAGGAGGATGACACCTGATGTCCTGTCCTCTCTGGTCAGGGAGTCAAGGACAGGGGGAGCCAAAACGAGATAGGCTTTTTCCATAGCAAAGAATATTTGAAGCCCCATCAGAAAGACTTTTCTCACTACAAGACTAGCCTCTCAGTTGAAGCACCCGCACGGATGAACTGCAGCAGTCCCAGCGTGGGGAGATTTGAAACAGGTTAGACAAGTGCTTGCTCACTGACCTGCTCTGCGCACTCTGGGACAGCGGGCTCAGCGCCCACTTGATTACTCTTTGGATTTGCCGCCTTCGATATGCAAGTTGGGACTACTTCTCAGGCTTAGTGTTAAGACCATTTTGTCACTGCAGTATTGCTACTCTAGAGAGTGTAAGAGGGACAGAAGCAGGGAAAACTGTTCTGCCTTTTGAGCTGTTGATGTTGAATTAGGCCGTGAGGAAAAGTTTTTTAATAGGAAAGGTAAAACTGATCAACTCAGACAACCATATTTCTTTTGGAAATCTCAGGCTTTCAGCTAATTTTGCAGAGGTTTATACTAAAAACTTAACATATGGAGCAGCAGGACATAAGAATGCAGTTTGTATCTGCAGTCCCTTGTATGTTTACCTAGCACATTCTTTTACTATATCTCACAATATCATCTTTTTGTGAGGAGCTTCTGTGCAGAAGTAATGATTCCTTTTCTAAACAATTTAGATTACAAGTTCTAATGTATGTCACATGTGACGGGTGTGCCCATTTTATTTTTGGAGATTATTTTCATTGTTTGCAACTGCAAACATTGCACATTATGAACAAAGCTTATTGTCCAGGCCAACTGCTGAGTGGATAAATTAATATAAAAATAAAAGTCAAAAAACACACACTGGGAAAAGCTTTAATGGACAGTTAGCTCTGATTCAGCATAAAATCCCAACTGTATTTTGTTACTTTCATACCACTAAGCTCATTCCAGCCCTGTCTCAGCAAAGCCCCCTACTTTCATGCTCGGTGCCATTAAGAAAGCAAATCCCACCACCAATAAAAAAATCACACCTACAAAATTTCAACATTCAAAAATTAAAATTTAAATAAATAAGCAGCTTGCTGAATTCATGCTTTTGTGGCTGATGTTTACAACATACACTTAGTTTTAAATATTAATATATTAAAAAAGAAATATCCTTAGAGATACTTCTTGCAATTTTGGAATTCATAAGCTCAGTGGATGTGAATACAGTGTAAAAAAAAATCTGTAAAAACTCTTAATATTCCACAACTTGACAGAGAATTAAAAAAAAAAATCCAAAATAAGAGTCCCCCTTAGGAACTAGGAAAAGCAAAAATTGATTTGCTCTTTTGAATGGAAGCTCACAGTTTGGAGCAAATGTGAAGAATAAACTGAGATACAACTAGAATGCATTAATATGCTAACACTCTGCAGAGAGTTTATACATAACTAAATGTATATATAAACAGGTATCTACAACCCTGCAGAGGAGTTAAAAAAAAAAAAAAAAACCTCAACACGTAATTTGACTGGGTGTCAACTGGGGGTGCATAGAGACTTTTGCTACAAACTGAGAGCACGAACACACTGGCTGCCCAGAGTTGACTGATAGGCAGTAAAAATACGGATGGAGGCCGTGCACAAGAGCCTTGCCAACAAATTCCAGCCCTAAGTGGGATGCAAGAATACATGCGCCGCCTGACACCTTCCAACTCCATTGAAATTCTCCTCCTCAGTGACACTAGTGTTAAAAAACAAACAGTAGGTTTATGCTGTTACCTCTTTTTTTCTGGACCTGAAAGCCAATTGTAATAAATCAAAGAGAGACAGATCAGCTCTGGTGACATCAGATCATGACTCTCTGCAAAGCTCAGTTTAAAGGATGATCCAGGTTACTCTTGTGAAAAAGACTAACCTGAAATTTCATTCTTCTGCAATTTTAGCATGAATGAGAAACAGATATTTGCAACAGGTATCAATCTATACAGAGGAGGAAGAACAACCATCAGTTAGAGATACTAAGCATATAAACCAAAGCTAACATCAACCAAACCACATTTAGGTTAGATATCTGTTTTAGAGCCTCAGCATTTCAGCAACCCATGTCAAGCCTAAAGCTTAAAACCTGTATGATTTTCTTATCATCACTGTTTAAATTCTGAAGCAGCTTCATGCTTAAATAAAGGACATTGCAAGGTGAGTGAGCAACAATTGATTTAACTCTTTTTTTCGAACATTTATCTCTCCTTAAACTTTCTACACTTCATTTTAGGTTTACTTACTTCTAGGTTAACTAGAAGTTAATGTAACACAGAAAATCATACAACTACCTCACAGAGGATGGGACTGGTCGTTCATCATGCATACCACCAGACCTCCTCCTTAGTATCTTTAGTATCTCCTAAGTAGTAGATACTACTTTGTTTCTGTTTCTGTTTTTTTAAAAAAGCAAAGATGGCAACAAAGCTCTACTTTTGTATCCAGACTATCTCTCTCCACCATGGAATTTGGACTTTGTTTCAATGATTTTTTTAAACTCCCTGCTTCAG